CGCTTTCTGCTGCCCCCTGTCACCGGGGTCCTTGGCCACGCCGGCGGCGTGGCGGTCGCCAGCAAGTGGCACTGTTACCCTGCTGCCCGCCCGGGCACCCGTTGGCCATCCCCGGCTGAGCTCCCACGTTTCGGCTTTTATCTGCCCACAGTCCTTGGAAAAAGCAGGCGACCTTCCGGGAAGGCAGCCCCTCTCCTCGGATCTGCCCGGCGCGGGTATTAATAGCTGCTTTTCCCCGCTCAGCGCTGCTGGGGCTTGGACGCGCTCGGGATGTGGGCAGATAAGGGGAGGCATGGGCAGCTTCAGCTGGATGTGGCACTTGCTCTCCCCCCCTTGTTTCTTCCAGACTCAAGGTCATCTTACTGCTCTTTGCTCTGCAAGACCCAAAGCGTTAGACCTCGTGCCTGTTTTAGGCGGGGGTTAGTCAGGCTCTCGTTACATGCTTGGCCTCTTACAGAGCAGTCAGGGAAAGTATTGCTAAAGCAAACACAGCCCGGGGTCAGGGTTTTCTCGTTTGAGGTTTATCCGCGGCAGGGAGAGAGCGCTTGGATTAATCACATAACAAAATCAAATAAATATTTAATCCCTCTGTGGACACACTTAGTCACTTCCAGTGGGAATTGAGATAAATTCAGCCTCTGAGTAAGTGCATTCGTGCAGCTCAGCTCACCAGCTCCAGCTTCCACGTCGGAACCGGTCTGGGTGGCTTTTCCCCACGTGTCCTGCATACGTGCACTGGGGGTTCTGCCGGTCCCCGGGGTGCCCGGAGCCGTCCCAGGACGGCAGAGCTGGCGGCCGCCTGTCCCCCTGCAGCCTCGGGGGCAAGGGAAGGGCACGAGCGGCTTTTGAATTAAAAACAGTGAATGATGAGGGCATCGTCACCCATGGGTGCCCTCTCGTGTGTCCCTCCCGCATGTGCCGAGCAATTTTGCCTCCCTGCCTGTGGGTGGGCTCTGGACCCGTTGGATGGATTACATTTTAAATTTGTATTTTTCCCTTCTTTAAAGAAATCGACCCCATTCCCTTCATAGTTTTTAAGGTAAACCATTATTTTTCATCTGTCTGGTGCCTGAGCAATATCACTCACGATCAAAACTTAACCTCCACCTGGAGGCGGTGGCGCGCAGGGGGGGTTCGTGCTGCCCCACGAGCGGTGCACGGGGGGTGCTTCGTGCCATGTGGGGTGCACGGGGGGGTTCGTGCTGTGCCACAGCCCCCGCCCCGCTGGGTGCCGCG